TAAAACTGCTGTAAGATCTTTTTTGTTGTTGTTGCTTTTACTTAAACATTTATTATTTTTTTCTTTTTTAACATTTTATTAGGGGCTCATAGAACTGTTATCCCAATCCATACACACATCAATTGTGTAAAGCGCATTTGTACATCGTTTCTCAAGACATTTTCTCTCCATTTAAACCCCCGACTGTAAGATCTTAACAGAAAACTTTTAGGTGTCTATTTCTACTGCCAGCCTGTACTTTAGTAAGCCCTTTTAGTCAAAATAGACAGTAATTTTCACATATTTTTGTTTGAAGGTACATGTTTTTAGATGTTTATGGTCATTTGATTTTTTGGTGTAAATTCATATATTTTAATTTTCTGTGGAGATTCTCCAAATTTTGAATTGAAAGGGCTACTCTTAGTGTTTTTAGTTTTGGGTTTGTTTTTTGTTTTTTAAGGTGGATTTTTTATGACTTTGACCTTTTCTTATACAGATTGCCAGGCTTTTCTTCCTAGGTACCTTTTTGGTATCTTGAGTCAGCAACTTTCCAGTTATTAAGTGCATAGCCATTTGCTCTAGTTTTTGAGTTTTTATTTTATTAAATCTATTTCGCCTCTTTATGCTCATTGGATGCATGCTGCCACACAGCTTGGTCTGATCTAATATGTGCAATATAAGTCTCTAGGTTTTAGGAAAATAGTGAATCCCTCCATGTCATTTGGTGATGTGGATGAGGGTCTGAATGGAGACCCAAAGCCCATCTGTAGACAATTGGACATCCCCTTACAGAAGGGTCACATGGAAGGGATGAATCAGCCAGGGTGCAGTATGGCATCAATGAAACATACAACATTCCTCTAGTTCCTTAATCCCCCACCCCCCCCACCGCCCCAATCATGACCCCAATTCAACCTTAAAAATCCGGCTAGACCAGACAAAAGCTGGTACAGACAAGAGCTCTCGACACACAGAATCCAGGACAGATAAACCCCTCAGGAACAGAAATAGGAGTAGCGATACCAGGAGGGTAGGGGGAAGGTAGAACCAATTGCGTTGGTTGACACATAGCGCCCCTGCCACCCACCCTGAGGGGAATGGACCAAAGAAATGTGGGTGAAGGGAAACAGTGGACGGTGTAAAATATGAATTATTTATAAATGCTCAACGGTTCACGAGGTTGGAATGGAGGGGGAAAAAGCTGATACCAAGGGTTTAAGTAGAAAAAAATGTTTTAGAAATGATGATGGCAGCATGTGTATATATTAGTTGATAAAATTGATCTGTGGATTGTTGTAAGAGCCCCCAATAAAATTATTTATTAAAATAAAAATAATTTTAAGATTAAAAGGACATCACTATCATTTGGGAAGTATTCCGCTCAATGTATATGCTTTTTCACAATTATGGAAAAGCAGATACTTTCTACAGCATTTTTCTACATCCATCCAGCTTTCCCCGTGAAATAGGAAGTGTGGTACAAGTATATAGAATGATGTGAAGTAGATATTTCGACTACAGATAGGAAGTCACAAGAAGTAGACGTGTTTGGGTGGGGGTAAGCCATCAGTTCTTAGAAAGAATAAGTAGTGAGAAGGGAGACTTGTAATGAAGAAAACCCACATTTAAAAATCCTAACGCTAAGAGTCTTATATTTACTACTAATTCAGAAGAGAAAGTTAGCTCTAGAGGGTACCTTTAGTTTCACTCCAAAATTTTTATCATTTCGGTAACTTTCTGGTTTTTTTTTTTCAGGAGGTGTGGGGATGATGTGCTCATTGAGTGAACAAGGGAAGCAGCTAGCTATCCAGGTGTCTAATATCCTGGGAATGGATGTGTGTGGCATTGACCTGTTGATGAAAGATGACGGCTCCTTCTGTGTCTGCGAAGCCAATGCAAATGTAGGTTTCATCGCCTTTGATAAGGCTTGTAATCTAGATGTAGCTGGTATCATAGCAGACTATGCCGCCTCCCTTCTGCCCTCTGGCCGGCTCACCCGGCGTATGTCCCTGCTCTCCGTGGTGTCCACTGCCAGTGAGACTAGTGAGCCGGAGCTGGGTCCCCCAGCCAGCACTGCTGTCGACAACATGAGCGCAAGTTCCAGCTCTGTTGACAGCGACCCTGAAAGCACGGAGCGGGAGCTGCTCACCAAGCTCCCAGGGGGCCTGTTCAACATGAACCAGCTGCTAGCCAATGAGATCAAACTCCTGGTGGAGTGACTCCACTGGTAAATAATTACCCAACAAAACCCTTGTAAAACGTACTACTCCCACCCCCCCCACCCCCCATTATTATTTTTTAACCAAACTTGCAATGCTGTTCATGGAAAACGCTCAGGAAGATGAGAGAAAATTGAGTTGAGAGAAGAAGAGGGAGATAGACAATACCTCTGCTGTTACCATGTGACTCCTTTTAAAAAAAAATAAATCCTCCAGATCTAGCTTGAAAATAGGCAGAAGAAGTGGAATATGGAAACACATCAAGTTTTCATACGTAGCATTTTAAATTACTCAAGTATTTCTATGCCTTTGGACCATGAGGAATATTCACTTTTTTTTTTTTCATGGTCTTTTGTTTTTGTATAGTTGGTAAAAATTTCAGAATCATATGACTTTGTATTAAAACATTTGTGTTGGTTAGGGAAAACATCGGCCAAATTAGAGGAATTTTAAAAAAATATAAATCTTAAACTTCTGCCTTTTCCATATTAACTAGCAGTTGTATGTCTCTATAATTGTTTATCAAATCTTAAGGAACTCATTGGTTTTCTAATTCTTTTTGTTGTTGTTGCCTCCCCCTCTCCCCGCCCTTTGATTTAGGTGGAAGGGCAAAGTAAATAACACCCAATAAAGACTTTTTAATGACAAAATTGGCATGTTTGCATGATGAAAGTGAAATGAACAGTATTGCAATGTCTGGCATACAAAATAACATTTACTCCAATGTAGATAAAATTACATTAGTTTAAAATATGTGCATTGCCTTGTATTTGTTAGTGTTTTAGTCTTTGAAGGATATATGCTCTGTTAATGTTGCTTTTTTTTTTTTTAAATACATGCTAGTCTAACATTTCCTGCTTTATGCCTGCATCTTTCACAATGGCCAAAGTGAAGAAAATGTTACCTTTTCTGTTAACAAGACACTGATTTGAAGTACACGTGCATTATTTTTTCACTTTTTCTTTTGGTGGTTGGACAAGGGTAAAGACAAAAATTTGGGGGACCGATCAAGGGCCTATACGTTCTTGGGTATAAAATGGAAGTGATTTCTAAGGCCAACATTATATATGAATTTTTCATATTTTAGGAGGGAGTGTGTGTGTGTGTGCTTTTCTCTGTGTGTGTGCACACATGCGTGTGTACGTATTTTGCTTTTTGTTTGCATCATCCAGTCAAAAATGATAGACCGTACAAACTGGAGCATGATGGGAAACACGTTTCATTTTTAAAAATTGAGTTGTGCTCATAACTAAACTCCAGTGGGGTAGCGAAAACTACCTGAAGATGTAAGGAGAATAGATACTTCCTAGCCTTTCTGTGTATATGTCGGTTGTTTGGTTTATTCTTTGGTTCTAGACTGTTCAGTGTATGGTTTATTCAAGGCTACATGCTACTCTTTTAACACTTACAGCTATGCATTTTCCTTCTCTTTTTAATCCTAGAATTTGGGGTGGAGTGAACTGGACTTTTTCTGTTGGGGAACTTAGTTAGCAGTGTTGAGCCCTACACTCTATCCTTCAGTATTTTCCATTCTATATTTCTTTTAAGTTCTGAATTTATAAAAACACCCAAACTGCATATGATATGAGCCTTTAAAACATGGGTAATAACTACTCCAAAGAATGGGTTTAGAAGGTGTGTTAAAACTAGAGAATGCTACAAAATGCAGCATAATTTTTTATCATCAAGTTCTGTCACCCTACAATCCTCTGAAACTTTTACCCAAGCTTTCTTGCCTCTTCAATGCCATTTTCCTTCAGATGGACCTTAAACATAATTTCTTGGACTCTACTAGGGAGGCTTCGAGGCAATAATAAAAGACCAGTATTAACCAGCTCTAACAGAGGTTTGATCATGCTTACGTGTACAGTTTTTCTCTCATTAAAAGGAATGTAATAAAATTTGTTTTTACCATAGAATGAAATAATATTAAAATTGAGTGAAAGGTTGATTGTTGACAAATAGAATAGTACTTAATCTGTGCAGTGTTTCATTTCACCTCATAAAAACACACATAAGAACTTCTAATTTACATTAGGATATTCTAATCACATCTAAAATAATGAGTTGAACAGGGTTAGTGGGAGACTCAGACCACACATGTAAGTATTGGTGCTTGGTACCATTAGCAGAAGTGTATGCTTGGAATTTCTTTCACCGAGTTGACCGTACATTGGGAAATTTGTGTTATTCAATAGCAGAGAAATAAAAGAAGACAAATTCCCGCTTAGTTAATTCATATGCTTGTGTAGAGACCACCAGGAAGCCACTTGCAATAGTTATACTTTAGTTATATGTCACACATACATAAATGAATGGAAATAGAACAATCTCTTTTTGAGAAAAAACCCAAGGTTTGTATTAGTGGGAAAAGGGACTAGGAAAATCTGTAGTTAGCTTTTTAAAATCTCCATCAAGTTAATCAACTATAAGAAATATCTGAAAATTATTTGCCCTGCAGTTTTTACTTACCATTTTACTTACCATTCATCTATCTTTTGTTCACTCACACTATGTTAAAATATAACTGTATCAAGCAACTTCTTGGATATACACTGACACGTTAGAATGAAAAGGGAAAGAACGGTCGGTCACCTTATACTTCAAAGCCATGCTTATCTGCTTGTACTCCCTCAGAAATTAAGGTAAAGAACACAGGAACAAAAAAACCTAGAAGAACCTGAATGAAATAACAGCTGGTATTTAAGTGAAAGTTAAGTTCATTTTAATAATTGTGTAATACCTTTTGTATAATTTCCATTGCTATTTTGATAGGTAAAAATGTTTATGTCAAATATGTTTGATGATGATTATATCAAAATTTGAATTCTTGTAATATTTGTACATTGTAAAAATTGTAATTATTAACTGTATCTTAAAAAGTCATCCTTTTTTATATTGTTTTATGTAATCTAATTTGAAGACCGGACTTAAATATATGTAAATAATCCTTCACATATATAAGTATGAAGTATTCATAAACTATTTAAAAATTTTAATGGTTTTTTTCCTTTTTACTGCCTATAATTTGCTGGCTTTTTCTCCACTGAACTTTGAAATCTTTCTTTGTATGCTCTCAATAAGAAAACACCTTGGAACATTAGAGATATTCAGCAAGAGACTTGATTTCATCAAACACTTTATCAAACTTTGAGAATGTATCGGAGGCATTAAAAGAAGTCATTGACTTTTAAAATCATCTTTTTTCTGAAGGAGAAAGCAATGGAAAAACAAATCCTCTACATTCAGTGAATCCCCAGTTTGGGGACCTGGGGGCTTAGAGACGTTGTGAATCAAATCTTATGTTATATTTTTCTCCTGGCTCACTCTTTTTGAGAAGGTTTATGGGCCATATGGCTGGTGAGACACGATCCCCTCCTAAGAAAATGTAGGTGCTCAGACAGGTAACCTCCACTGCTACTGTTTTTATTTGTTTGTTTGTTTCATTTCATTTAAAATTTGTTTTTGTTGTACTAGGATTTTTAAAAATAATATATTACAGGATTTGTATCAGGTTCACTGCTCTTTTTTTCTTTTTTTCTTCCTTTAAAAAAAGCAAAACAAAACAAAAGTTTCATTTAAAATACATTTAGGCGCCTTTGAAGCTTGGATTTTTGGAATGTTTCAGTAGTGGACAGAAATCTGCTGTTGGAATCTTCTAGTCTTCCAGGTTTAATTTGACATATTTTCAGTTTTGCTTTTGGATTTTTCTGTGGTATTTTATTTCCTTTATGCCAGTGCCCTTTTGCCATGCTGTTTTGGGGTGGCTGCCTAACTTTAATGAAAGTTATTTCTATATTAATGGAAGTTTGGCATTTTAAATTCCTAAATGTTTTGCATTTTTAAAAAATTGCTTTGGAAGAAATATTCTAACTGTTTGCACTATTACTGTTCTTTGCCAGCCTTTTCAGGAGCCAAAAAATCAAAAACAAACAAACCAAATATTACCCAGAGAAAAACCTTTCCTTCTTCCCCCTTCCTGATGATGAGTGAGAAGTATTGAGAACTTTCGGGGTCAGTGCCCTTCTAAACTCCCCTTCCCCCAATAATGCAGCTGTATAATGAATGGTAAATGCAGCGGTTTGGATTCAGGCACAGCCCCAGCCTGCGTGCAGGTAATTTGACTCCTTTCTTTGTTTCACAAGGCTAACTTCTTTTTTTTTTTTAACCTTATATGCTTTAAAAGCAACCCTAGGTTTGTAGTTAACTTTTTTTTTAATTACATAAATATATCTAGTAAATAATTTGATTAAAGAAGATTTTGGGGGGATAAAATTCTGAGTTGGTTGGAATGAATTTAAGATTTCTCTTTGGGCATTTTATTAGTCATTTAGATAACTCCATTCCTTGCATATGTGTCTATATATAGTTGAGTATTTCAGAGTGTGATTTTGGCTTTGTTTTTGTTTTGGGTTTGTTTGTTTCTTCCATTGTGCTACTCTGGCTTAAGCTTTTTCAGGGGTTGGTGTTCCGAATACACAGTGAGCTCACAGTATAAAGACATCATTTAGGAGTTGCCAGGTATGGAAAACTAGTTTTGCAAAGGTAAAATTAGGTTTTAGGTTATATTTGTGGTTAAAAAAAAAACTCACCATAGTATTTGGGTATAGTGGTTCCGTTTCTGTGTCATAAGAAAGGGAATGTTGAGACATAGACAATAGAAAGCATTTCAGTTATTGAGGAGCACTGTGATTTCAAAACAAAGAGATAAACATGAGTAGTTTTTGATTATTTGAACAAGAGTTGGAGGGAATTTCTGGAGAGAGGATGATCAAACATTAACCAAGGCCCTTACTTAAGTGGAAGGAAAACCTGTCCCACTTTAATAGCTTTCTTCTACTTCCCCAGCTCACCTATCCATTTATCCTCCTTTGGGGAGAAAATCCTCACTCTAATAAGTTGAATTTTCTTTTCAAGATATACTTGTGCATAATTTTGTTCTCTGATTTTAGCTGTTCTATTTAAAAAGGTTTTAAGTCTAGTAAATCACTTCTTAGTGAATACATGATCCCAGCTTGTAATACTGTTCGTATAGCTGAAGCCACAGATTGTTATTGGCCCGTTCTGTGCTCC